GACTGGGAATGTTGCTCAGTGGTTGAGCACCCCTGGGTTTAATCCCCAATATACTGGAAAGGAAAAAAAAATATTGTAGCTGGTTTTCTTCTGGTATAAAATTTACTTATAATGAATTRCATCAGTCTTTATATTTGCTGAATTCTGGCAACCCATACATCTGTGTAACAGAAATCCCTCACAACTATGTATTTTTACAAAATGAAATGTCATTTTGAAAAATCAGAGTGCAATATAAGTAGTATGGGTAAGTAGTGTTTGTGAACTTTTGTTTCAGATTTATACATATCTGTACAGTGGATCACAATGTAAAATATCTTTGTCACAGTCATAATAAAAAAGTTTCACATAGGCATGGTGGCATACTCCTGTAATCCCAGCAGCTCCAGAGGCTGAGGCAGGAGGATCACAAGTTCAAAGCCAACCTTAGAAATTTAGCAAGACCCTAAGCAACTCAGCAAGATCCTGTCTCTAAATAAAAAAAAAAAAAAATATATATATATATATATATATATATATATAGGCTGGGGATATGGCTCAGTGGTTAAGTGCCCCTAGGTTAAATCCACAGTACCCCTCAAAAAAGTCTGAATCACAGTTCTTAGAGAGGACTTCAACATGTAATCAAATAATAATAATCACATACATTATAGACAGGATAATTAGCTCTTTGTAGATGGAAAGGAGACTGGAATAGGCAGGAAAGGATTCACCAAGGAAAGTGATATGTTATTTATGATGTTGGCCCTTTAGCACTTGCTGCCTGCCACCTGTTGAGCTCTATTCTGAGAATGTTACATATCCTAACTCATTTAACCCTCACAGCAACCTAGTGGGTAAGTACTATTATTATTCACATTGTACAGGAGACTGAGCTCAAAATAATTAAGTATCTTGGGGCCAAGGTTGTAGCCCAGTGGTAGTGTACTTGCCTAGCATATGGGAGGCACTGGATTCAATTCTCAGCACCATATAAAAATAAAATAAAGGGGAACTGGGGCTGGGGCTTAGTTGTAGAGTGCTTTCCTAGCATGTGTGAGGTTTAATCCTTTCCTAGCATGCTGGGTTTAATCCTTAGCTCCACATAAATAATAAATAAATAACTTTAAGATATTATGTCCATCTACAACTAAAATAAAAATGTTTAAACAAAAAATAAATAAATAAAAGGTATTGTCCATCTACAACTATCTATCTATCTATCTATCTATATATATATTTAATCACTTTTATTTCTAGAAGCTACATGTTCTACTCTTTTTTGGAAGGAAGGTACCAGGGATTAAACTCAGGGTCACTAGGCCACTGAGCCACATCCCCAGCCCTATTTTGTATTTTATTTAGAGACGGGATCTCACTGAGTTGCTCTGCACCTCACTTTTGCTGAGGCTGGCTTTGAATTCACTATCTTCAGCCTCCTGAGCTGGGATTACAGGTGTGCACCACTATACCTAACATGTTCTACTCTTTCATGCAGTGATTTATTTGATATTTTCCAGATTTATTGTGCAGAAGCATTAGAAAAGAGAATAGCAACATTATTAAATGTAAATGATAGTTTCATGCCAGTAATACACTGAGTGAGGCAAAAAGGCAATGTGATAAATTAAAGACAGCATTATGAGTCAGGAGATCAGAATTCAGGATTTCATTCTACATCTGCAAAATGAAGGGAGTACACATCAGGAATGATAAATATAAGGTGCATATGTTGTCACTCCCTATTTCCTAACCCACAACCAACAGTAATCATTCATAGGATCCTTTGTTTTGAACTTCCATGCAGCTCCAGAATCCTCCCAGGGCAGCTCATTGTAGTTAGTCAGCACCCAAGTCAAGACCTATTTGCCATCTTTAGATGACAGTCTGTAAAGACTTCCAGTTCTAACTCCCAGAAAGACACCATCACAAATATGAAAACTGCCCAGTTTAATATGTACTTCTGTCTTTTCTCTGAGTATTAAGTTTATGCCATGTAGGATCCTGGGAAATGGACATGTTCTGCTATGATCTACCAGTCTCACTCATCTTGACTTTCAAAGCATGTTCATGCCAAACCAAGGAAAATTCTTGTTTGATTTACCTTCCTTTCATCTAGATTCTCTGCTAGGGCATCCTAGCATCCATTATATTGTACTTTCCCTAATGCCTTTTTCTTTCTTTATTCTTCCTTGTTTTTCATATATATTCACACAAGCTTTTGAGTCTACAATCTACTAACTTTCTGGTGATTAGAATGTCTTCCCTGACCTTGTATATTACTGAATGCAACGAATTTATAAACAGGAAATTCATACCTCTCCCTGACCACTCCCCATATTTGAGCATATTCCTTCTTATTGTCTTCAGTTTCATAATTATTTGATCTCCCTCCTTCCTGATGATTACTAACCAGAATAAGTGCTTATAGCATTCATCTCCAGTTTACAAACATGTATTTCTTTCTTAAGTCTCCACATTGTTTTGGCATTATATATTTTAGAGTAGAAATACAATTGTTCTTCTCCATTTTATTACCACCAGGTAATCCTATAATTGTAAATTGTGTAACTGTTTATGAGCATGCAGAAAAACAAAGATGTATTGAAGTCTTTAGGTGCCTTTAGATGTTCTATTGAAAGTTTTCGTCCTAATGAGTATGAACTAACATGTCCTTGTTTGTTGTCCTTGCTCTTAAGGTCAGTGAGAAGGAATGCTGGTCTTGTAAGGTGGAAACCAATTTGATCCCTTGGTGTAACATCTCATTGGGATCATTTTACAACTCATTTCACCATTTAATTTGGCCAGGTCATTGAAAGCCAAGGTTTGGCGATGAGTATCTTTCAGAGTTTTTTTTTTTTTTTTTTTTAATCTGGCAGTTGAAATCTAAATATATGATTATAATTTTTAACTATCATAAAGTTGGTTTTAAAGCAACTTTGCTAAATGGGAATAAAAGAAAGAAAAGGGATTGGGGATATAGCTCAGTTGGTAGAGTGCTTGCCTCGCATGTACAAGGAGGCCCCAGAGTTCAATCCTCAGCACTACACACCAAAAAAAAAAAAAAAAAAAAAAAGTTTAAGAAAAGAAAAAAAGAAAGAAGGAATGAATGATAATCTTAGCTTCCTAGTCACCTACTATAATGTACTAGCAATAATTTGTAAGGAGAATAAAAGTAACACTTAATACCAAATGATCAAATACCATGAAGACTGTCTCAATCCCGCCCACAGTATAGTGAGCTTATCTTCCTGGAAAAGGGAGTGAATAACCACAGGCCTCCCCCACAGCCCAGCTGTCATATCCCTGGCTGAGCTGGTCTAGATAACATCCTGTTCTGCACAGTGAATGAAGGCTTGCAACCCCAGGCTTTGCCATGTGGGGCCTGGCTCTTTATAGCATAGTGTTTGGAATTGTGAGTAGCCACCTGTCTGATAGGGTTTAGAAAATAAAAGATGTTAGAGTGGAGGTGTAGTTCAGTGGTATAGGGTGTTTGCCTAGGATGTACAAGGTCCTGGGTTTAATACCTAGTACCTCCTCTGAAAAAAAGAGAGGAGCTGGGAGGGTAAAAAATAATAATAGAAAATTTAGGATGAATATTATCCCATAATGTTGTTTCTAGTTGCACCACGTAAATACCAGGCTATTTAGACCTTTTGGTGAATGCATGTGATCTCCTCTCACTCTTATACCTTACACATAGTCATCTAATTTGGTTCAGAAAGGCCTGGCAACTTGGAGTCACATGGCATGGCAGGTATGTGGCAAAGCTATGATCTGAGAGCCAGGTCTGGTTTTTTTTTTTTTTTTTTTTTTTTTGATGGTGCTGGGGATTGAACCCAGGGCCTTGTGCATGCAAGGCAAGCACTCTACCAATTGAACTATATCCCTAGCCCCAGGTTGTCTTATTGTAGTATAAACTTTTAGGTGACACATTCTTCTTATTTCAAGCAATCAAAAACCCTAAATAAAAACACTGGTGTTGGACTTGACTTAGCTATTTTGTCCAGTGTACAACTAACTAACCCTTCTATAGAAAGGGTTAGTTAGTTGTACACTGGACAAAATAGCTAAGTCCCAGGCTCTGTACTTATCTAGGATTCTGATTAGTTCCATAACCATTCATTTGCCAAAAGTACAATTCTTCCATGCAATCTGCTTATTTCAGTAGAGCTTAGTTTACTATGGATTATTAACTTCACTTTCAAACATATATGGATGTCTCATCAAAACAAATATTTAATGTTTTATACTTAAAGAAGGTAAAGTAGATCAAGCCCTGTTAAGTCATCCTCTACCTGGTGTTCTAACAGTTGAGTCTTTTTCAGACTGACTCTTCGGAGTCATCTTCCAACCAGCATTGTTAAGATAGCTGTAAATGTTCATTGGGGTGACCAAGCCCTATAGTGATCTTTCCCTCCTTTTTAACATATATGAGGAGCTTAATTTTCTGAGACCTTTCTTGTTGCCCTCTGAACTGAAACCAGTGAACTTTCCAGAGCTTTTTTCTCAACCTAAAGCCTCTCCTTCTAGATCATCCTTCAAGAAGTTGCTCAAATTCCCCTCTCTGGGAAGTCCTTCTTGACTCTCTTGCAACATTCCTTGCTCCTTCCTTCTGTGCTCCTAAGCAAACGCATGGCCCCAGTTATAATTCATCACTTTGTATTACTGATATTTATTTATCTGTTTAGCACCTTTATTTAGTGTAAAAGTTGGAAGATCAAAAACATCACTTCTTCATCTCCCTATTCTTCTGATACTTAACACAAAGTTGGTGTCCAGAAAAACAGATTAATAAATTGAGTGAATATGAGTAGCGGTATTTGGATGCTGAAAAGTGATTCAGAAGATAACTAATGAAAATTTGTTTGGTTATTATTAATTAAAACCTTATTCCGTTTGTAGGAGTGAAGACCAATATTATCAAATGATATTTTATTTACTTCTGGTTCATCTATAGAACAGACTTAATATGATTGAGAAATTTAATCTTATCTTTCTGTTATTTTTCTATTCTCCAGGTTCCAATGACAGCCATCCCTTGCTATAACTTTTAAACTGTATTTGGAAAAACACTGGCCAGGAAAAAAAATGATAAAATTTTTCCTTATGGTGAATAAACAAGGCCAGACCCGACTTTCTAAGTACTATGAGCATGTGGAGATTAATAAGCGAACACTTCTGGAAACAGAAGTCATAAAGAGTTGTCTCTCTCGATCCAATGAACAGGTAAGTTTCTGAAGCACTCTTTTATCTCTGCAGTCAACTCAGCCTTGACAGATCTGTTATTACTTAGTCTCAAGGGCCATCATTTTCTCTGGACTGTATTCCTTCAACAACTATTAGGGAAAATAAGGAATGAAATACAATGAAAATGAAAGGAAGCATAGCTTTCTTTATATCTCCTTAAGAGAATAAATACAAGAAAAACCAGGAAAAGTCTTGGGTTGTTATTTAGGTTAGCATATTTGTCTCAGTTCACCATGAAAGTGGCAGCTAAATTTACTCCTGCTAGTACATATAATCTTTCTTTTGTTCATATGAATTTAATCCTTGGAACTGTTAGGAGTGCCTATAGCAGGTGGCTTTCTGAAGCCAAAAAATGAAGGTCAGGTGGCTGTCATGGAGGTGACTATTCAACCTATTTTGTACTAGAGAATAATAATATGATTCCTGTGGAGAGGACAATTTTTATCTGCTTATCATTCTTATAAATACATCACCAATGATTTAAAGGCAAAATGAACTTGCTCTTAACTATTTTATTATGTAGATGGGAGAATAGAAGTTAAAAATTCATGTGAAATAGCAAATCTATCTATCCTGCCAAAATTTGGTAGTTAAATAAAAATATTAGAATAACAAATAGGAATTGGAGGTAGGGATTCTGGGGCTTGAACCCAGAACTTTGTGCATGCTAAGCACACACTCTTCTACTGAGCTACATCCTAGCCCATGAAAAGGAATTTTTAAAACTGAGTCTTGGGCTGGGGATGTGGCTCAAGCGGTAGCGCGCTCGCCTGGCATGCGTGTGGCCCGGGTTCGATCCTCTCCTCAGCACCACATACAAACAAAGATGTTGTGTCCATCGAAAACTAAAAAATAAATATTAAAAAATTTTTAAAAAATGAGTCTGTTTTCACAGAGAACTTCAGAGAATTATTAAATCCAGGTCCTAAATGTCAAATCTRTAGGAAAACATTCAACAACTGAGGCAAAATCAGAAAGCTTATCATTATTAATGATAATTAATCATTCATTAATTTTCTTCATTCTCCATTTCATTGCATATATAGAAAGACTGCCTGTAGAAACCACTACTAAGCCATAAAATGTTAAGCTAATCAGTGCTCAGACATTACATGTTGCAAATGTGTTTCCCTTGGCTTCTAAATTGATTTTCCAATTGAAACATCTCAGAGTTCCTCTTTGAATTACTACTTTGGCCTTCTATGGCACACTGGTTTATGGTGTCAGATGGAAACAACTGTTACAGGGCTGTTAATAGCCACATGCTTTAAGTAAACACATTTAGAAGCATTCCTGTTTCAATATTTCTACAGAATGCAGGCACTCCACAATTTCAAACATCATTTATACTCATAGTTAACCCTTTGAAATACAGGCTTTGGACTAAATATATATATATACTCTTAGGTATTTTTGAAATATACTGTTATTTTAGATTTTAAAAAGAACCCACTGTGCTGGACACAGTAGTACATTCCAGCAATTTGGGAGGCTGAGATAGGATAATTGTGAGTTCAAGGCCAGGTTCAGCAACTTAGTGAGACCCTGTCTCAAAATAAAAAATAAGAAGGGCTTCGGATGTGACTCACTAGTAAAGCACCCCAGGGTTAGAGCCCCAGTATCCAAAAAACAAACCAAAAACAAAAACCCAGTAGCTGCTAGGCTTTTGGCATAATGAGGCTACAAAATATCCTAATATCAACATAGTCATTATTTTACCCACAAAAGTTCTTGATACTTTTTTTTAATATTAGAAACTCCTAAGAAACTGTGAAAAAAAAATGTTTTTCAGTTTTTTCAAATAAATTGCATTTTCTTGAAAGAGCCAACCGAATGGAAATAACAGTGACCTTACTGAGCCAAAAGTTGCAGAATGGTCCTATACTTTTTACCTTTATCCTAATTTTAAATAAAAGCTTCAATTTTCTCCATTTTATAGATTGCCAAATGGCATTTTCCATGGAAGAATTTTTATACTCAAAACTTAAAGCTTGGGGCTGGGGCTGGGGCTCAGTGGTAGAGCACTTGCCTGGCACCTGTGAGGTGCTGGGTTGATTCTCAGCACCACATAAAAATAAATAAAGTATACAATTTAAAAAACCAAACCAAACCTTAAGGCTTTATTCCTACGTGCATCTGGGAACCCAAGAGCAACAGATCACAGTACAAAAAGCAAAGGAAGAGTATTACTGTGTCTTTAGCCTGCAGGCTAATTCCCATCCACCCAATGCCTTTGTCCACTGGCTTTAGGAAAATAGATGAAGGAGAAGGGAGTTGTTTTGTCCACAAGTCAGTGGTATAAGCTTGTTATGAATTCATACAAAACAGTGTTTACCTTGGGAAATTTTGTATAACATCTTTCACATGAAGGCCATCTTTAAATAATTTATAAAAGAATCTACATGAATTATTTTTATACATCTAGGAAAAAGACACACACACACACACACTCACTTCTTGAATGTGGCTCCTCAGTGATTATTAACAAATACAAATCAAGCTTATCTTATTGCTTCCCAAGAATCCATAAGGAAATGGAAAAAAGAAAATCTTTTCACATTGAAGGCAATTTAAAATGCTGGTTATTCATTAGCTTTGGCTGCTGATTTCCACATAGCCAAGTAAAGGAATGAGGAGTACATGTGAGAACCCAAGTGATCACTCACTTTTTTTCCCAGACTGTTTCTCCAACTCCCCCTAGAGATGCTTCCAAGTAGTCCCCTGAATGTTATGAGAATGTTATGTATTTCTTGGAGTATATTGGCAGATACTCCAACCTGAACCTAGAAATTATGCATGCCATTTTGGAGAAGTCTCTATCCACCAAAGGTACTAATATCTAATTGTGTTTCATTTAGTGCTCTTTTATTGAATATAAGGATTTTAAGCTGATATATCGGCAATATGCAGCTCTCYTCATTGTGGTTGGAGTTAATGACACTGAGGTAAGATACTGAGAGTATTTGGAAAATACAAGATACTTAGAGATAACAGTCTGATCTTTATTCCTCCCTATGTTGACATTTTCTTCCTACTGGCCTAAGAATTGTTATGACTCTTTTCCAGAATGTATTTGGTTTCTTTTTTTTCTTTTTCTTCTTAAAATTCTTTTTGTAGTGCTGGGTAGTGAACCTAGAGCTTCAAGCATGCTAGGCAAGTGTTCTATCAAGCTGCATCCTATCCCCTAAACCCGTCCCTACATTTTTTTTTTTTTTTTTTTTTGGAGACAGGGTCTAACTAAGTTGCAATCCTTGAACTTGAATGTACAATCCTCCAGCCTCCCAGTAGTTGGGATTATAGGCCTGTACCACAGCACTTCTCTAGGATCTTGGTTTCTATCAAGGTGGGAAAGTTCTACGGAGGAGATATATGTAGGATGTTTGTTTGGATTACATGAGCAGCTTATAAAATGGAGAAACTTAAAACCCCAGAATGCCCTTCTGGGTTTTGTTTGTTTTTGTTTGTTTGTTTGTTTGCAGCACTGGGAATTGAACCCACGGCCTCACATATGCTAGGCAAATACTCTATCACTAAGCCACATCCCAGATGCCTTCCAGTTTTTCTGTTCTGCTTTATTTACTTTTTTTTTTTTTTTTGAGGCAATTTCTCACTGTGTTTCCCAGGCTGGTGTCAAATTTGAGGGCTCAAATAGTTGGGATTATAGGTATATGCCACCACATCTAGCTAGTGTCTTCCTTTATCCTGACCAAGTCCAGTGCCTTGCTCTTATTCTGTCAGATAGTGGGGTAGCTCAGACAAACAGAGGCCAATCAGTTATGACACTGAACATGGGCTTACATATCAAAAATCAGAGCAAACTGATTATATGATTGTCCTATGTTTGTATCTCCTAAAGTTAGTTCCTCTTCAGGAGTGTTCATCCCAGTTCCAGGTATTTCAAATATAAAATGTTCTGAAATCTCAGTTGATTGCTTTTATCCATAAGGCACTTTGAGTGGTTTCCCCATCTTCACAGACAGAAAAATGATGGTGCAAAGAATCTGGAAAATGCTTGAGCCAGTAGGTGATGAAGTCAGGAAGTAGAGCACAAAGCCTTGACACTGGAATCTGAAGTTTCAGTTGGGTCAGCTTCAACACTGACCACAAGGAAATCTTAGAGGTTAAGGTCTTCTCCATTTCTTTCATTAATAAGCATCTTTTAAATAAGGGAGAAGTAGAACTGTTCTGAATATTGGTCAATGGAAAGTTACTTTGCTCACATTTGTTCCCTTGGTCACATGCTCTAAAACCTGGGAACTGACTGGCCATTTCTGTGTCTGATTTGCTTGAGGGCCATGCTAAAATTCATTGCATCTTCCTCTTTTATTTCAGAATGAGATGGCTATTTATGAATTCATCCACAATTTTGTGGAAGTTTTAGACGAGTACTTCAGCCGAGTGGTAAGTCTAATGACTAAAAAGTGTTTTTGTTTTTTGAACCCAGTTTTCTAGAAATTAGGTCATGTTGGGTATAGCTTGTTAATATAGAGCTTTAATGTGTAAAAGTTAAAACTCAAATGATGTTACATTTTCTTTCTCTTTCCTTCTGGCTCATCCAACATATTTGCAAACTTATATATAGTTTTATGTATGTTTTAGGTAGTTTTCAAGGCTCAGCTCTTAAAAAGCTATATACCTCTTAGTTTTTAATTCTTCTTACTTAGTTACAAAATTTTATTGTCTAACTTACTCTCTTCTTTCCTCTGCTTTCCATCCAAAGACAACAGTACCTTTTCACATTAAGAATCATTTTCATTCAAACCCTTGCTTTAAGGGTGAAAACTCAGCTCCCCTTTAGGAATATATGAGTTCCATTCTAGCCATCCTTATTTTCTTTTTTAAAATATTTTTTTAGTTATTGATGGGCCTTTATTTAATTATTTTTTAATATTTGGTGCTGAGATTCCAACCCAGTACTTCACACATGCTAGGCAAGTCCTCTACTACTGAGCTATAACTCCAATCCCCCTTATTTTATTTTAATAGATATATTGAAATATAATTTGCATACTATTCAATTTGTCCATTTAAAATGTATAATTGGATTTTTGTATTTACATAGTCCTGAAGATCATTACCACAATTTAAGGAAATTTCATCATCCAACAAACATCATGCACATTAGCATTTTCCCCTAAATATTCCCCTCCACCTATTCCAGGCCTTGAGTAACCACTAATCTATTTTGTGTCTTTATGCATTGCCTGTTCTAGACATTTTAGATAAATAGAATTTTACAAAATGTGGTCTTTGTGCCTAGTGTTTTGTTTTTTTTTTTTTAACTAGCATATTGTTTTAAGATCCATATGTTGGGGGCTGGGGATGTGGCTCAAGCGGTAGCGCGCTCGCCTGGCGTTCGTGCGGCCCGGGTTCAATCCTCAGCACCACATACCAACAAAGATGTTGTGTCTGCCGAGAACTAAAAAATAAAATATTAAAAATTCAAAAAAAAAAAAAAAAAGATCCATATGTTATGGCATATATCAGCACTTTTACTTTTCATTATGCAGTATCTTCCATTTTATGGATATACCGTATTTTCTTTATCTATTTGTCAGTTAATGGACCAACACCATTGTTGAAAAGACTATTTCCCTCCAGTGAATTGTCTTGGTACCTTTATTGTGTGTCATTTGATTATAAATATGAGGGCCGATTTTTGGACTCTCATTTCTATTCCATTCCATTGATCTATATATTTATTCTTATGCTAGTCCTTTACAATATTGATTACTGTAGCTTGCAGTTAGCTTGAAAACCAGTCTTAAAAAAGAATCAATTGGGTTTTGAGTTTGATCCCCAAAACCACAAACAAACAAAAACACGTGAATATGGTTTACTTGCTATGATAGGCCTTCCTGAGCCTTGAGTAGACATTCTTTGGTAGTAGCAATGATAAAGGCTAATTATTTTTCAAGGTTGTTTGTTTAACTTTGCTTTTATGTAAAAGGATTAAGAAGGAATTCTTTCCAAACTTCTTCCTGAGGCAATAGTGGAGTCAAGTCCATAATTAATAATATTGAGTGCACCAAAACCTGCAAAAGGCAAAACTCCTTCAGAAGTTATATCTTCAGTCAAATTCCTAAGGCCAGCATTGAATATCTTCAGTCAAACTCCTAAGGCCAGCATTGAATTCTGGCAAGCATCTTCACGGGCCAATCAACTAGCCAGTCTTTGTTGCCTTGGTGTGGTAGTTCTCAAAGTCTGGTTCCTGGAGCCGCAGCAAGTACTGAAAACATAATTAGAAATACAAATCCTGAGTCCACTTCAGACCACTGAATCAGAAACTCTGGGTGGAGGCCCCCTCATTCTGATGCATGTTCAAGTTTTTGAACCATTACCTTAGTTCCTGAAGTTTGCTGTCAGCGATTTCCTAATTCAGGGAGTGAAGCTGAGAAGATAGTGGCCTGCAGTGAGACAGGACATCTGTCCAGGAAGGGATTGGTGCCCTCCAAAGCTGAAGAGGTCAAGAGGTCAGGCCATTCCCAAGACAGGCCCTTAGGGAACAGACAGCATTGGGACTGGCTTTAAAAATATCTGTTGATTGCTTGGAGACAGTATCACAGACCAGCACTGTCCATAAAACTTTCTGCAATGTCAGAAATGTTCTGTATCCATGCAACCTAGTATGGTAGGCACTAGTCGTGTGTCGCTTTTAACACTTGAAATGTGGTTAGTATAACTGCGGAATTGAAATTTAAGTGCTAGTTAACTGTAACTAATTTAAATTTAAATCATGGGCTGGGGATGTGGCTCAAGCAGTAGCGCGCTCACCTGGCATGTGTGCGGCCCAGGTTCGATCCTCAGCACCACATACAAAACAAAGATGTTGTGTCCGCCAATAACCAAAAAATAAATATTAAAATAAATAAATAAATAAATAAATAAATAAATAAATAAATAAATAAATTTAAATCACCACATTAGCACAGTGGTTACCATATTGAACAATATAGCTCTAGCTCCTACTTATCTCCTGGTGACCACTCTCATGTTAAGCTAGACTGGTTGCTAGTCAGGGTCTGTGATTCTGGCCTGGCAATGATTAGCTATTTTAAGTTAACACACACCAAGAAGATTATAATTTCTGAAAACAAAAAGTGAGTACAAGCACTATCATTGTTTTTTAAAAAAATTATTATTATTATATTCAGTAACTAAAAATAAATAGCACATTGTTGAATTGTAGCTATAATTTTAGGGAGAGAGAGTCAGTGACCACATAAACCACAGAAGTAAAGATTAAAATTTACTTTAAGCTAGGCAATTACGCAGGACTTGGACTGCACTAGGGATGACCTAGTTTAGGATGAAACCATACCAAAAAGAAGAGGAAGAGAGGAGAGTACTATAGGAAAGAAAACAGGATCTGTCCCACTCATCGAGAGTGCTTTGTCATCTAAGATTTATTTTTAGGTTTGTGCATTTTAAACATGCTTTCTGAGGCTATTTTTCATCTTAGAATGAGTTTCCAGATTTTAAATTTAGAGGTCTGTCTCATGCTGTCTCGGCTGAAAGCAGCATCTTGGCATCACATTTTAAGAACCAAAAGCCAAACCGATTAACTTCAAAGAAGGCACTTTCACAGAGGTGAAGGCTATTGCTGTTGAGGAAAATGTAGCAGGGGTTTCAATGCCACATTTGACAGACCTGAAGTCCTTTCACCCTCTGAGACTTTTTCATTATATAAATATCTATTTTGATTGAAAAAAATTTAAATACATATAAGTAGAATGAAAGAGGAGGGTAGCTACATGCCATTATACATTTGTCCAGAAACAGATTGTACAACACCAGAGTGAACCCTAATTTGAACTGTGGACTCTGCACAGCACAGCAGTGATGTGTCCATGTTGGCTCATCAGTTGTAACAAAGACACTTCTCTCGTGACAGGGTGACACAACATTCATGCATGTGTGAAGGCAGGGTATATATACATTGGATATCTCTGTACCTTCCTCTCAATTTTACTGTGAACCTAAAACTACTCTAAAAAAATTAAGCATTTTTTTAAAGTGGGGGAAGGAGTATCAGTAAGCCATCACTTAGTAATAAATGCTGCTAAGTACATTTCCTCTTAGACTTTATATATATCTGTCTGTATCTCTAGAACATGCATCTCTACATACATATGTGCAAGTCATATAGTCATCCCTCAATATCTGTGGGGCATTTGTTCCAGGACAAATCCTACCCTGATGGATCCTCAAATCCCCAGATGTTCAAGTTCGTTATATTAAATGGCTTGGTGTTTGCATGTAATCTGTGCCTATCCTCTCACATACTTTTAATCATCTCTAGATTACTTATAATACCCAGTATAAATTGATGCTATGTAAATAGTTTAAATCATTTTATTAATGACAGGAGGATAAAAGTTTGTACTTGTTCAGTACAGACACAATTTTTTCACCTTAATAGACACTTACCAGCCTCACTGTGAATATCATATCACATACCATTGTCTGATTGTTTCCTTAGGTAAGATGTGTATAAGTAAAATCATTGGATTCAAAGGGTATAGCACATTGCTGAGGCTTCTGATACACATATCAAATTACCTACCATCTGTAAAGGTTGAGTTAGTTGATTATTCCCTTGATTTTTTTTTTTTCTTGGTGGTACTGGGGATTGAACCTAAGGGTGTTCTACTACTGAGCTACACCCCCAGGCCTTTTTATTTTGAGACTGGGTTTTCCTAAGTTGCCAAGGCTGGCCTTGAACTCGTGATCCTCCTACCTCAACCTCCCAAGTTGCTGGGATTACAGGTGTGTGCCACTGTGCTCAGTTTATGTCCTGTATTTTCTGAAGATGAATTATTCTGCCCTCAAAAATTCTTCTAGTCTGCAGTTTTGTTTTTTTGTTGTTGTTGTTTTGTTTTGTTTGTTTTTAGCTGCAGTACCCAAGTCAGGGTTCATGCTCTTGCTTAGGCTTCTGTATACACAGCAGCAGCCTCTACTGCTGCTGTTAGGCTTGGAGGCAGAGCAGTTGCTGCCTGTGCTCAGAGTGTCCAGTCCCTGTGTGTCCTTCTTACCTGTGCATTCTTTTTCTCTTTTCCAGAGTGAACTAGATGTATCCTTTTTCAATACTGTTTTCCACAGTATTTGGCAAAGCAGAAGTGCCATGGGGCAGGAAAACGGTTCAACAGATTCCAGAATGTCTGTCATCAGCAACTGACAGGACAGCCAGAGGTGCAGGTGTTTCACATAATCCTACCACAGCCTTTTTTACAATTTTTTTTAAGACTCTTTTTTTCCCCCAGACAGGGCTATGTTATGGCATTTGTTAATAATAACTATTATATAGTAACTTCTTTTAAGCACATGGAATAGGCTTGTTCAAAATGAATATAATAGCTAGAAGGGGCTTCATCTTCGGAGAGAGAGAATGGGTTTTCAGGAATGTAGGTATAAATCTCTAGAAATCCCCTCATGATCAGAAGAAGGCCTTCAGGATTGATAAACTAGAGGGTTAAAGAAATTGCCTGGCTTGTATTCCTTTTATGGCAGATAAAGTTCTCCTTTTCTTTCTTTTAAAACAAAAATGCTCAAGGACCCCCAAGAACAAATATTGCTTAGAATACTATAGGCCTACAGATTTTGGCAGAAACCCACTAGGCTTTGTGTGAGTGCTCTAGAGGAATATTGACTTTTTTAAAAAATAGTTTTTTAGTTGGTTGATGGGCCTTTACTTTATTCATATGTGGTGCTGAGAATTGAACCCAGTGCCTGACACATGCAAGGCAAGCACTCTACCACTGAGCTATAACCCCTACCCAGGAATATTGACTTTTAATTTAATTTTTCTTCAAAAAATCTGGAAAGGGATAAATAAGTCCTTTGAAAATCCATCAAGCTTGAATCTAAAATAGTAACACTAATTGTGATAAATATCTACTAAAATATATTTAGTATATAACAAATATATATTAATTATAACTAATGTTTATGTGTATACATACATTCATATGTTTGCCTCTATATATAAATTAGACACCTATGCCAAGAACCAGTATGTTTACATCAACTTGATATTCTGGGGAATGACCATTTACCTGTTATGATGATAGGAAATACTCTGTTGATAAAATACATTTACAGGCAGAATTTGGAAGCTTCTTTAACTGGGAAAAACTGAGTGCCCTCTGGTGGTAAGTGACCTAAATCTACCATCCCTTTGACCTAGGAGACCCAAGACCAGGAAATATGTCCATATTTTTATTCAGCATGTAAACTCTCTTTTTAAAAAAAAAACAAACATTTTTTTAGATGTTGATGGACCTTTATTTTATTCATTTATTTATATGCTATGCTGAGCATCGAACCCAGTGCCTCACACATGCTAGGCAAGTGCTCTACCACTGAGCCACAATCCCAGCCGAGTAACACTCTATCTTAACTAGATTATTTAAAGCAATTCAAGATAAATATTTTCCTACTTGTACAAAGGAGTTAGGGGAAAAAAGGCTTTAGATTTAAAAATCAGAAAGATGGCTAGGGCTAATAGGCACTTTGTTAGGAGTGCAGAAACTCAATATCCATTAAGTAGCTATATGTATTGGACAAGGCACACAACCCCTCATCTCAAAATGAGAGAACTATACAGAAGAGCTTTAGCAGCCTCTCAGTTGGAATCTCCATGAGTCCAGGTAAATGAGCTAAATAACTTCACACCTACAGCAGGAAGTCTTATAAGTCTAGAAACCCAGAAAATTAAAGTGAATCAGATGTAACAGAGTATATAGTATAGTTGGATTAGTTGTATTGATGTGTCAGACATTAACTAGATTTTTATTGGAAGTAGAGATAGGTGTACTTGTCTTTGTATCCTGCTCTTATCTGACACATATCTGTGTAATGATCTCTAGCATTCTAGTTTGAATTTAATTTCCCTACCAAGACACATAATTTGTATCTTTCCCTTTCATTTTACATGGTTTTTATTTTTGCCCTCCCTTTCTCTCTGACCAAGTTTTATATTTATTTTATATTACATAGACACCTCTCTTCTGTGACATTTATAAAAGGTTGTCACCTTTAGCCTTATGAAAAAAAAATCCAAAACCCATGACTTTCCTCTGCTTGCTACATAGTTCTTTTGTCCAGGAGAACTTCTGCAGACCAGTCCATAACAGAAATAGAGGGGAACCTTTTAGAGCCTCAACTATAGTTTCCTATGCCCTCCAGTTAGAGTCATACATTTTGTATCATCTTTCTTTAGCAGGACATACTGGAGCAGCTAGCATTGTTCAGGTCTGCTCTGCCAGACTTTGGGATTGAAAGATGAAAACAAGTAACTATCATAATTGCAATCAGGAGCTGGTTTTCCCAATATACAGAGCACACAATCTGTGTTTGCTCAGCCTTCAGAAAGACTTCCTTGTCAGCACACCTAGGGCAGCCATGATTTAAGGCTTGGTTTGGTACAGCAAGAGGAGAGGGAAGTGAAAACCTCATGAAAGTCCCAAGGCACCACTCACTTATTCAGTTTTTTTCTCCAGAAGTTTTCTTCTTCTTTTTTTTAATTTATTGATTTATTTTCCAGTAGGATGCATTTTGACATATGGTAAATGGAGCACAACTTCTCATTTCTCTGGCCGTACATGGTTCAGAGTCACTCCAGTCATGTAGTCAGTCATGCATGCATTTAGGGTAATAATGTCTGTCTCTTTTTACTGTCCTTCCCATCCTCACAGAAGCTTTTCCATCCTGATGCTTTTAAAGGATGGGGAAGTTTCTCAGAGCCCGCAAGGTTGGACTTTGAGAAATAAATAGAATACACCATTTGCATTTCTCTCTAGTATAGGCCTGTTCTAATTCTAGTAAAACTAACATTACAGAGCAAGACAGATGGGATTTAAAAAAGAAATGACCCAAACACAAAAAACCAGGACAGAAAATCTGACTTGTTGAAAACCCTCCCATCCCAGTAAGTGAAACCCTCTGGTGCATAGTGTCAGGTGGGGCAGATTGCCCCCTGGGGACCAGGCACAGCAATGACCTAAATCATTCACAATTGTGAACAGGCTCCTGTACTCTTCAAAGTCCCTTCCCTGCACTGGACTGAAATGCTGCCTGAGGACTTAGGAGGCCTCATTTCTATAGGAAAGTTCATCCCATCTCATAGCTTGGTAGACGATTTTTCAAGACTTCAAATTTCATGAACTAAGATTGATTTGTTTAAGAACCAACTGATGAGACTCCCCCATATGCCTGCTCTGGATTCCCAGAAGGCTTGCTTTTCTCCAGGTAATTCAAACTGAAAGGAATGGCCTGCCTTCCCCTCTGCTCCATGGTCAGAGGATGGCACCAGTGACCAGCACTGTCTGGGAGATGTACCAACGCCTCCTCAATTTGGTAATCATCTATTGTATACATGAAGGCACAGAAAACCTCAACAGCCTTTTTGGTATTTGCTGCCTTTACAGAGGCTGAAACACTTGTTTTATTTTGGCTGTAATGGAACACATTTATATGCCTTCTGACCTGGACAACCAGTCTTTTTCTTGGGTCCCATTCTGCTCTGCTTCAGCAGCAACCTCAACCCCCCCTATTCCTGGTCCCATGGCACAAGGATGCTGACCTGAATCCTAAAGGCCTTCCCGCTCCACTTTCTGGCTTTTTAGGTGCCAGACATTCCAGAGCCTGCTAGTAGGGCCTATGGAGGCATTTCTCCCATCCCCACCCCAGGACTGGGAGCAAGAATAACAAAGCAGTACTCAGGCAGGGTAATTGGGATGTCCCATACATGCATGGGAAGAGAAGCGAACTAGCATCCCTATGCATGCTGTTGTGTCCCCTCTACTACACAAATATAAGCTAGGCCTAGAATCCACAATGTATTCTTTTTTTGGAGGGAGGGGTACTAGGGATTGAACTCTGGGGTGCTTTACCATTGAGCTATATCCCCAGTCCTTTTTATTTTTTTTAAAGAGAGTGAGAGAGAGGGGGACAGAGAGAGAGAGAGAAAGAGAGAGAGAATTTTTTAATATTTATTTATTTTTTCTTAGTTCTCAGCGGACACAACATCTTTGTTTGTATGTGGTGCTGGGGATCGAACCTGGGGCCACACGCATGACAGGCGAGCGCCCTACTGCTTGAGCCACATCCCCAGCCCCCTTTTTATTTTTTAAGACAGGTTCTCACTAAGTTACTGAGCTAGCCTTAACCTTTCAAGTTGCTGGAATTACAGGCATGTGCCACTGTACAATGCCACAATGTATTCTTGTCTGAAAACCCTTTTAGAATGTTTGTTTTTATTTTATAAATCTCAAAAGGTGATTGATTCTAGAACCCTAAAGCTCCTATGGGTAATATGAAAGCAGCCTGCTTCATCCTCTGTTTATGGCTGCTGCGGGTCAAGGTATAGGGAAGGGTCTCAGTGCTCTATGCCCCATGCCTCAGCCAGCATCTAGCAAGATGCTTCTTGAAGGGGTGGCATGAAGGCAGCAGTGATTGGCACCACCGAGACTTGCAGGTAGGTGCTGATCAGGACTTCCTAAAGTCTTACATACTTTTAGAGGTCCAGAAACCAGAATGAAACTTCTCTCCATTGGAGATAATCTCAGCCTAATTTAATGAGAAACTGCAAAAGTACTTGTTCAAACCAGGGGCAACAGAAATAAAAGCCAAAAGAACAAAACATTCTTCAAGGAAGCCATCCCATACTGAGAGGACAGCTTCTCACTGAACTGAAATTCTCTACATGTTCTCTTAGAAAGTTAAATTGATAATCAGTTAATGAAGTGACTACAAAAGGATTTCTTTTGACGTATGCTACAGCATATAACTACTTCAAGAATGGGTTGGTATTACCAGAAAGGACAGTCCTCTCCTTCAAAGGTTAGAGTCAGGAGCTGAGTATTTTGGAGTTGAAAGAACACACAATTATATTAAACCTTGCTTTTTAGAGGAAGAGGTTCTCTCATGTCCTCAGTCCAGACAGTTACTGTATGGCAGAGTTGCAACTGCCTCTAGGTTTCCAGAGTGCTTGACTCAAGGGTTATAAATTCAGTAAAGTTGTTTTCTGGTGTGGGGGGGCGGGGGGCAGGGGGATCTCCCTGTATTGCTCAG